AAAAAAAAAAAAAAATCCAACCTGTATCATGACGCAACATGGCAACGCTGGTCTCGGTTGGGGTTGTCTTCATCCGGCGCGTGCGTTCCCCCCTCCCAGCCCTTCAAAAAAAACCAAACCAAACATCCCCCGCCGTCTTAATCGTAATTAGGGTGGGGTCAAAAGGTTGTTGGGGGGGGGGGGGGGGAGATGCTGGGAAGTCTTCCTTGCTCCGTTGAGTGATGGTCAGAGTTGGCTTCACTAGTGAAGGTCAAAGTTGGGAGGCAGGGTGGGGGGGAACCCACCCAGCCGCTCTCGGATTGGACAACCTGGTGGGACAAGGAGACATCTCCTTGCAAACCACACCCTTCCTTCTGCGTCTTCGCCTCCGGAAGAGGGAAATTCCCCCAAAATAAGGGTTTTTCACCCTAATAATCAACCGAACTCACCCAACGAGGAGGTTCAAAGGGAAGGGGCGTGTTTTCCCACCGGTTTGGGCATTTTTCTGGTGGTGTTTAGAGCAGGTTTGGGTGAAAACACGGGTGGGAAAAGGACTTTTTGTTGCATGCGGCAAAAATCGCCGTGGCTTGTAGGAGATTTTTGGACAAGGATTGGGTAGAAAATAGGTGGAAATGGGGTTTTTTTTGCTGCATGCACCAAAAATCCTCTTGGTTGTTTTGCTTGAGGCAGGTTTTGGATGAGGACTAGGGTGGAAAATGGGTGAAAATGGGGTTTTTGCTGCATGCACCAAAAAAACCCCTGCGCCCCTTTTGCTTTGCAGCAGGAATTTGGACAAAGATTGGGTAGAAAATGGGGGAAAACGGGGCAAACCTGTGGGGTTTTTGCTGCATGCACCCAAAATCCTGATGCCCTCTCTGCTCACAGCAGAGTTTTGCACAAGGATTGGTTAGAAAATGGGTGGGAAACAGGTAAAAAGGGGTTTTTTTGCTGCATGCACCAAAAATCCTCGTGTTCCTTTTGCTCGCTGCAGTGTTTTGCACAAGGATTGGGTGGAAAATGCATAAAAATGGGTTTTTTTCTGCATGCACCCAAAATCCTCATGGTCCCTTTGCTCACAGCAGAGTTTTGCACAAGGAGTTGGTAGAAAATGGGTGGAAAAAGGCTGAAAATAGGTTTTTTTGGTGCATGCACCAAAAATCCTCATGCCCCCTCTGCTCACAGTAAGGTTTTACACAAAGATTGGGTGGAAAATGACAGAAAACGGGATTTTTTTGCTGCATGCACCAAAAATCCTCATGGTCCTTTTGCTTGACGCTGGATTTTGCTCAAGAATTAGATGGGAAATGGCTAAAAATGTGTTTTTTGCAGCATGTGCCAAAAATCCTCATGGTCCTTTTGCTCGCCACAGTGTTTTGCACAAGCATTGGGTAGAAAATGGGTGGAAAATGACAGAAAACGGGATTTTTTTGCTGCATGCACCAAAAATCCTCATGGTCCTTTTGCTTGACGCTGGATTTTGCTCAAGAATTAGATGGGAAATGGCTAAAAATGTGTTTTTTGCAGCATGTGCCAAAAATCATCATGCCCCCTCACTCACTGCAGGGTTTTGCACAAGGATTGGGTGGAAAAATGTCTAAAAATGGGGGGGTTTGCTGTATGCACCAAAAATCGTTATGTCCCCTTAGCTCACTGCAGTGTTTTGCACAGAAAATGGGTGGAAAATGGCAGAAAGTGGGATTTTTTGCTGCATGCACCAAAAATCCTCATGGTCCTTTTGCTCGCCACAGTGTTTTGCACAAGCATTGGGTGGAAAATGACAGAAAACGGGATTTTTTTGCTGCATGCACCAAAAATCCTCATGGTCCTTTTGCTCACTGCAGGGTTTTGCACAAGAATTGGGTAGAAAATGGGTGGGAAATGGCAGAAAATGGGATTTTTTTGCTGCATGCACCAAAAATCGTTATGCCCCCTTTGCTCGCGCGTTGGGTTTTCGGTGACAGGTCATGAAGGGGGTCTCCACCGCCCAACCCCACCACTGAAGTCCACCTCTTGCCCCCCCATCCCCAGATTGCATCATGGTGACGGTGGGCAAGGACCCCGAGGTGGAGGAAGACACCACCGACCTCTGGACGGCCGTGACCTTCATCGTCCTCTTCCTCCTCAGCCTCTGTTACAGCACTGGCGTCACCCTCTTCAAGGTAACCGTGTGCCCCAGCGACTTGCTGATGAGTAATTAAGGCTGATTAATTAAGTCTTGGTGTCTCCCCCCAGGTCCTGTGACCGCCGCAGATGGAAGAAGACCCTCGTCCTTGGGTTGTCCCCTCTCTTTCCCCCATGGCCGAGCGCTGCCCAGCATCGTTTTGTGGCTTTTTTGAAGATTCAAGGAATAAAATGAACTTCAGCCCGTTTCCATCAGCCGGAAAAAACCCCATTTTCCAATGAAATCAGCTCATTTTCGTTGGGGCATCGCACCCCAATCCCCATCAAGTTACAAAAAAACACATTTTCTCCTGAAATCAGCCCGTTTTGTGTTGGTGCATCTCCCTCATTCCCATCAAACTACAAAAAAAAAACCATTTTTGCCAGAAATGAGCCCGTTTTGCGTTGGTGTATCA